TACTGGAAGGAGGCGGCTCCACACACGCCCCCCCCCCCCCCCCCCGTCCTCTCCCCGCCCCCCCAACTCCAGGCCAGGCCTCGCACGTCTGGCATGGACGCAAGCCCTCCATTAGTGCCAGCAGAAAGGTCACCAAATGAAACGCAAGGCCCTGCCGTGTGCCAGGCCAGCCTGAGCTGCGATTCCGACCTGCGGCTCTTAAAGGAGCAGGGCCCAGCCGGTCCTAACTGAGGCCCTGGACCAGCCCTCTGTCCTGCAGAACCCTGGGCCCTGGCGGCCCCTGCCCCGTGCAGCTGGCGGCCCCTGCCCTCCGTGGCCATGTGACCTGGCTTTGTGTGGGCGCGTGGACCAGTCCGTGACCTGGGCTGCTCACCTCCGAGACAGAAGAAGCAGCAGCTACTCAGGGCCAGTGGCCCATGGAGGGTTCACACATGGTCTCATTTTGTTTGTTGGTTTTTAACCATTTTTTAAAAAATAAATCTTTATTGTTGGGGTATTCCAGAGGTGGTCCTTCCCCCCATCTTTTTGTTTCTTTCATGAATGAAGAGCGAACGGTTGTTAATGACGCTCGGTTCCCGATGACCACATGCGCCCTGATGGCCCGCGGGGCGGGGATGCTGGGAGGGCCGAGTAGGGGGTCCAGGTTGCCCCATTCGGTCCTTCCCTGCGTGTGGCTGGGCAGGTGGCCTTGTCATCCTTTGCACACGGAGGAGGCAGCTTCTAGGGTTCATGAGGTGTTTTTTCTTTAAATTTTTTAAATTCTTGATTGTTTAAAATATTATATAAGTCTCCTTTTTCCCCCTCTCCCCGGCCGTCCCCCCCACCCCCCGGTTTATGTCCATGGGTCATGCTCATTTGCATGCATACAAGTCCTTTGGTTGATCTCTTACCCCTCACCCCCCCCCCCCGCTTTCCCTCATAATGGGTTGGACAGTCTGTCCGATGCTTCTGACTCTGGTTCTGTGGTTCATGAGGTTTTTGAGTGAGAGCAGAAGCATGCGAGGGGCAGGTTTCTACACCCTGAGGGCCACCAGGAGGGTGATATGTCCCTCAGTCCTGGCTGAGAGAGGTGGGGTCAGGGAGGGGCGGTCTGGGAAGGGGGGAACGGAACTTGCTGGCCTCCAGGGCGGGCCCCCCTGGCAGGGTGCCCCAGCAGCCTTCACCCCAGAGCCATCCCACAAAGCCCAGCTCCCCGAGGCCCAGGGAAGAGGCCTGCTCTAGGGCACATGGAACCCCAGGTCCAGCCTGAACCTTCACGGAGCTCAGGACGGGGGCCGTACAGCTGGGCCCAAACAAAGTATTTCCCGGGACCCGGACCCTGAGCCTCTCCTGAGGGCCCAGCCGTGTTCTCAGAGGAGCTGAGGCCACAGGCCGAACAGACCAGGAGGCGGCCTGCGCTCTGAGCAGAGGATTGTGGAGGCAGACCCACGACGAAAGGACAAAAGTCAGGTGAGGAAAGATCCCGGGAGGAGAGACCTGGGGGAGGTGGGTGGGGGGCCAGGGTGCTGGTCGCCGCGGGCGGGCGGACTGTGGGAGGGCGGGGCTGGCCTGGGAGCTGGCAGCCCGGGTGTGAACCAGTGCTCTGTCCCTGCAGTTACAGAGAAGGCAGGCTGTGGCGGGGTGAGCGAGGCTGTCTGTGTTTGGGGATCGGCTCCATCCCCCAGTGCATGTGGTTCTAGAACAACTCCAGCAGAGGGCGGCAGGCGCCCGCAGACGGCCTGCCCGGCCGGCAGGCTCAGCCCTCATCCCCTTGCCCGGTGGGCGCTCCCGGGGGCTGCAGAGCCAGTGGAGAAAGCTCATCCCTGCAGAAATGGCACAGGACAGGGCAGGGACCAGGAGAGGGGCAGAGGCTGCAAGGTGAGGCCAGGGCGCAGTGCTGACAGCTGTGTCCCAGCCCCCTTCGGGCCTCACCCTTAACCTCCAGCCAGGGGTGCACAGGCTTCTGCCCCCTCTGGGCCCAGCCTCTCCCCCCTCCCACGCGTGAGGCAGCCCGAGGACCCCCCGGAGTTACAAGGCTCAGGCATCCCTGCCGCCCCCCATGACCCTCGCCTCAACTCTTAGATTCCTGGCCAAGTGCTCCTGTGACCTCAGGTGCCTGAGCCAGACCTCCGCCCCAGGCCTCTGCCCTCCCCCCCCCTCCCCTGTCACCTCTGATGCATCTGCCGAGTCTTGTTCGTGGTCACGATTCAGTTCAAGCCTAGTTCCCTCGGAGCCGCCGCCCTGGGACCTGCTGTCCTGGTTCCCATGCCTGCCCGTTCCTTCCCTGGGGCCATCGGAGCCCCTGGAACTCTGATGGCGCCCCCCCGCCCCCCTCCTTGTCACAGCTGTCTCCCCAGCAGGCCAGGGTGCCCTCTATTGTCATTTTTATTTTTTTGTATTGATTGCAGAGAGGAAGGGAGAGGGAGAGACAGAAGCATCCATGATGATGAGAGGGAATCATGGATCGGCTGCCTCCTGCACGCCCCCTACTGGGGATGGAGCCCACAACCCGGGCATGTTCCCTGACCGGGAATCGACCTCCTGGTTCATAGGTCGACGCTCAACCACTGAGCAACACCGGCCGGGCTCCCTCCCAACCTCTGACCCCCTTCTTTGTCGCGATGGGGCATTCCATGACACAACCATGAGTTTAAGGACTTGTCTCTGCAAAGAGAATGCGAGGTAGCCTGCTCCGCTCCCCCAGCACGAGTGGTCGCGAGAGGGTTGTGGGCCGAGTAAAGGCACATACGTGCGGGCGGAAGGTGGTGGTGGTGGGGGGACCGCCGTTTCTGGGGGCCTCCCTGGGCCGCACCAGCGCCAGGTGCCAGGCGGGTTAGGAGCGTGAGCTCATCGCGTTTCTAGAGTGACCTGGGGAGGTAGGTCCTCGTAATTCCATTTTACAAATAAGGCAGCTAAGCCTCCAAAAATCCAAGGCGGACCACACAGCAAGCGGCGGGCAGAGCCAGTTGGAGCGCCAAGTCCTCCTGCCGCCCGAGACCACCCCCTGCGCCCCGCCGCTCCCTGCCTGGCACCCCTCGGATGAGCCCCACTCCTGCCGCTCACCCCCCCCCCACCCGTGTTCTAATTCTCTTCACCCCAGGGTGGGCCCCCTTGCTTATATAAATGCCCCTCATTTGCTTCTAATAGCTTTCTCTCCTGTCTTCTCCTTATAAATTCGCCCACCAGGGGCTCCAAGATCCTGGGGATGGAGAGGGGCCTGGGCCTCCATCTGCAGATGCGTTTGCTGTGGGCTGACTGGCCGCGGGGACCCTGCACCCACCCAGCCCAGCCCGCCGTGGGCCCCATGTGGCCCCAGACTGTGTTCCACACGCACATGACAAGCACATGTAATGTTCACGGGTGCAACTGGTAGCAAGGTGCTGGGGACAGAATCCCCGCCTGAGTGGAGGGTCCTGACCCAACGCCAAGCCGGGAATATTCCTGGCAGGGAACGTAGCATTTTCATCTGATGGTGAACAAGGTTGTTCAAAAAAAAAATCCCGTGTGCCCGGCTTCTCAATCATCTGTTCTGTGCGGGCCAGGTGCCCAGGGCTGTGCCCCCTCCATGGTTTCTTCATCCTGGTTACTGGGGGGGGGGGGGGGGGCAGGGCCACGGGTACCGACAGTTTGGGCGACCGGGTAGGCCGCGTGGGTATGTTCTGGCCTTGCTCCGTCCGTTCCCAAGCCCAGACCACCAAGTTTTCTAAGGAAATAGAAGAGTGGGGTTCTGGAAAGGTCCCCCTATTTTCAGCCTTTCTCTGGAGGTTGGGACCGGTGCGCATGCTCATTCCGGATTCCTCCCCTTGCTGGCCGTTGGGTTCACGTCCCTCCTGAGCACCCAGGCCCTGTGCGGCCCTCTCCCTCCTCCTCCCACCCACGGCCTGTGTCACTCCACCACTCCTGCCCCCGAGCTGACAGGCCCCGGCCCCAGCACTGAGCAGGGACGAACTCACTGAGTCGCCACCAGCCCTAGGGGACAGGCACGTCTCACGTGACAGAGGTGGGCATGGAGGCTCAAGGAGGGTGAGAGACTCACCCCGGGTCACACAGGTAGGAACGTGGATGGATGTGGCCTGGCTTCCCTGGGCTGCTCCTCAGACTCGTGGCGTTGAGTGCTGAGAGCAGGAACGGACCGAAGCTGTACGCCTTGGCCCCGCCCTGGCTAAGGAATCTTGGGCAAGTCAACTCACAGCGAGCCTCCATTTCTTCATCTGTGAAATGGGCGCGAATGTGTCTCTGGCTCAGTGGGTCGTTTTACACTGCAGTGGATCTCAACCTTCTGGCCCTTTAAATACAGTTCCTCCTGTTGTGGTGACCCAACCATAAAATTATTTTCGTGGCTACTTCATCACTGTCATGTTGCTCCTGTGATGAATCGTCATGTAAATATCTGATATGCAGGATGGTCTGAGGCAACCCCTGTGAAAGGGTCGTTCGACCGCCAAAGGGGTCGCGACCCACAGGTTGAGAACCGCTGTGTTACAGGATGACATGGAGTGACCGCCAGCAGGAACCTGGCCCCGAGCAAGCCTTGGCCCTCCTCACACTGATGGGTGGTGCCCCCCGTGGGTCACATGTGACCGGGGGGATGTGGGGTGGGGGTGGGGGCAGTGACAGGCCCAGGCCTGAGCTTCCAGACTGACCGCCGAGATGGAGTCATCCTGGGTCTCAGGCCAGCCCACCCGAGGCCCCCGAGGGCATGTGGTCCTTCCGCAGGGTGCCCGCCCGTGTGTCCTTGAGACGGTCCCAGCCTCAGGGCCAGGGGACCGGACCCTCCCGCCCACATGCAGCTCGTCGCGAGGATAAAGAGTAATTTTAGAGGAGCAGGGGCTTTGGTGGTGAAGTTGCTACATCCTCTGCACACATTTACAACACAGGCACACACACATGCACACACGCATGCACACACACGCACATGCTAACTGCCCCCCATTACACTGTCAGGGGACACGCGCCACCAAAGTCAACTCTGCACCCCACAAAGGCACCAGCTGTCCAGAAAACAAACTCCAACACGCAAGTCCAAAGGAAAATAACAAAACAAAACCCAAACTTTACTTGCATGTAGCCGTTAATAAATAATTTACAGTATGTACACGCGGGGACCCTCCACACAGGTCGCAGACACGAGGACGCAGTGGGGGGTGGGGGAGGTCCCCACTTCCAAGCAGACGCGAGAGCAAACACAACCAAAATAAAGTGCTTCACTTTTTCCTTCCAGCGCAGGGGCTGTCTGAAGGCCAGTGGGGCCGCCTGCCCGCCGGGGGGGTTGGCAGAGAGGGGACCTCTTGGAGGGGGAGGCGGGACAGGTCCGCAGCCTCCTGGGCCAGTGTATGCGAGGTCCCTGGGGACGGCAGGGGGTGGGTGGGGCCGGCGGGCCGGCGGTGAGGGCTGCGGGGCTTCTGGGAGGACGGCCCCCTGGGGCCTGGCAGCACCTTGGGGAGAGGAACCCAGCTGGCAGGGGTCCCTGGAGCAGCAGCAGCAGCGGGACTGGCCGGGGCTCCCAGCGGGAGGTCTCCCCGGCTGTGTGGCCCAGGGGCTCATGGGAAGGGACCCGACGATGGGGGGAGACCCTGCCATGGCTGCTCAGGGCCGCGAGGCCTGATGAAGCCCCCTCCCCTCCCGACGCAGACCTGGGTGGATGGGAGGAGCGGGTTTGGGGAGCGAGCAGAGGATCAGGGCAGGCCAGCTGGCCCCGTCCACCAGGCCACCCCCCCACCCCCTGCGGCCCCGGCCCCCTGCCCGCGCTCTGGCCACCTGCTGGGCAGGAAGGGTCATAAGTCAAAGGGTAGTTCTGTGTGTGGACATTTAGAAACTCAACTCGACTTCCTAAGCACAGTGGGGGCGGGGGCCGCGGGAGAAGGGGCCGGAGAAGGGCATCCAAGCCCACGAGTGGCGTCGCTCAGAGCACGTGCCAACACGCACTGTCCCGGGCGGGGGCCTGGGGTGCCCTGAGACCCCCGGGGACAGGAGGCCCGGCCTGGGGGGGGGGGGGTCCAGCCGCGAGGGTGCCCCGGCCCCGCCGGCTCAGTGTGTGCGAGTGTGCGAGTGTAAGTGTGCGCGGACGGCGGGCGTGCAGCAGTCGCCGGGCGTTCAGTGCATGGCGGGGCCATGGGGAGGCGCTGGCGTGACCTTCCCAGTGTCAGTGGCGGGGCTCCGGCCTGGGGCTCGGATGTGCACATTCACACGGCGGGGCTGCACCGTCGCAGCGGGCACAGCACCAGTGGGTCACCCCAGCCTGTCGGGGGGCCCCCAGGAGGGCGAGGGGCCGCCCCAGCCCCAGGCCTGGCAGCAGCAGCAGCAGCAGCCAAGTCAGCGCCGAAGGAACCGCCCCAAGCTCACCAGCCAGCGCCGCCTCGCTTCTGGCCCCTCCGAGGCCGGGGCCGCCGGGAAGCCAGGCCCTTCTGCAGGCGCCTCGCTCTCCGTCCTATGCGGCCAGGGCCTCCGGGAACACGGGGAGCAGGGCGAGGAGCAGGAGGCTGCCCAGGAGGAGCCGGGGGGCCGGGGCCAGCCCCGCGGCGGCTGCCCGGCCGGGGGGCTCCCGCGTCCTCTCGTACAGGTGCAGCTTGTCCTTGTCCGAGTGGAGCATCTTGACGTCCTCCAGGGCGTAGTAGGCGGCCAGCGTGAAGTTCACGTCGCCCGTGGTGAGCAGGTCGAAGACGCAGGCCTGGTAGTACAGGTCCTCCACGGGCAGCCGCTCCTTGCACTTGGCCACGGCCGTCTCGTAGGGGAAGGTGTCGGGGGCGGCGGGCGCCGGGCCCTCGGGGGCGCGGGCGGCCTGGAAGTCGATCTGCTGGTTGAGGGGGCAGCCCCGCAGGCAGAGGTAGAGGCCCTGGCTGTCTCGGTCCTCGACCGCGTGCACCACCTCCTCGGGCATGCGGACGGCGAACGTCAGGTAGCGGCCCACCTGGCGCACCACGATGGTGGTGCCGATGTACTTGGCCTGGATCTCCACGTGCTGGCCCGACACCTTCTCCGTGATCCGCAGGCTGTTGGCCCCGTGCTTGTCCCCGCCGTTCTTGGAGCCGTCGGCGAAGGCGGCCGGGAGCTCGTCCATCTCGGCCTGGTACACCTTCTGGTCCACGCACTCCTGGAAGTTCTTGAAGATGATGGTGAGCTGCGGGGAAGCGGGCAGAGAGAGGGGTCAGGCGGGGCCGGGGCTGCGGGGGACAAGGTCCAGCTCCGTGCTCGCGATGCCCATGATGCTCTAAGATGGGGCGCGAGGAGCCCGAGGATGCCCCAGACCGTCCTTTCCGCATATTGGTCCCTAGTTCAGCACCACCTGCACGATTAACATATTCCTTTAAAACAGTGGTTCTCAACCTTCCTCACGCCGCGACCCTTTAATACAGTTCCTCATGTTGTGACCCAACCATAACATTATTTTTGTGGCTACTTCATCACTGTCCTGTTGCTACTGTTACGAATCATCATGTAAATATCTGATATGCAGGATGGTCTTAGGCGACCCCTGTGAAAGGGTCGTTCGGCCGCCAGAGGGGTCGCGACCCACAGGTTGAGAACAGCTGCGCTAGAGCCTGCCTGGGAGGGGGTGGGGCAGGGCTGGGCTGAGCCCCCGACGGGCTGTGTCAGTCACCGTCCTCCTGAGAACCAGGCACACGGGCCCACTGGCCACATCAGTGTCCCGTGTGGCACGGCAGGGGAGGGTGACGTTACCTCTGACTTATAGACCAGGCAATGTGGGCTCAGAGAGGTAAAGCGACCTACCCAAGGTCACACAGCCAGCAAGCAGCACAGCTGGGATTGGACTCCTAGTTCCCAGTCCCTGTGCTTCTTGGGCCACAAGCCCACGGGGTGGGGGGTCTGGGAGAAAGAAGGATGGGAAACAAACAGCCGGGGGAGTGAGTGTGGGCCCCCTGCCTGCCTCCCCCCATCCTGGCAGCGACGTCTGGCTGCTCTTTCCTCTATACTCCTAACTAGGAGGATTGTGTGGGCTGGAGACAGCCTCTCTCGTCCCTGCTCCCAGGGTCAGCTGGTGCCTCTAAGGCCGCTGCCCCCCTGACCCAGGGCACCTGGACTGCTGCGTCTCCGGGCACACGAGGGCGAGCTGGTGCTCTGTGGGTGCTGCGGGACGATAAAGGGGGCCCCAGCCTCTCCATCCTGCTTCGAGCCCTCCTCATAGAACCGTATGCAGCTGCTGCTGCTGCTCTATACCCCTGGCCTGTAAAGCCGGCGACTTCATATGGTTCCACCTCCTGCAGCTTCCTTCTCTCCGTCCAGGGCTCCTGCAGGGGCCCAGAGGTGGGTCAGCCAGGGTGGTCTGGGCGGTGGGTGGTCCTGCCATTGGAGGATGGGGCTCGGGTGAGGGACTCTGGGGTCCCTGCCTCGTGTGCAGGGCCACACAGACACTGGGGGGCGGGGCCGCCTTCCCAGGGCCACCGTCTCCCTGAACAGGAAAGGCTGGTTCTGCTCTAACCGCCATCTCTCGCGGAGACAGTCTCCTGGAAGGCTGACAGGCCGCCTGACTCTTCTTGGCACCGGTGCCAGGGCCTCAACCACAAGTAACAGCATGAAGGGGGCCTGTTGAAAGCCGGGCGGCCCGCTGCCAACAGGGCCCGGGCGGGGCTGCCGCTCCTGCCTTTGCTGTCCCCCCTCCCGTTCCCCGACGGGCCTGGGCCCACCCCACCGCGCTGGGGACGGGGCAGAGCCCGGCTTCACCCACCACTGTGTATGTAGCGCCAACGACATGCCAGGCCTGGTACCAGGGCTGTGTCCACACAGGGAGCGAGACGGCCCAAGGCCCGTCCTCATGGAGCTCACGTCTGGGGGGTCACAGACCAGGCAGACGAATTATGCAGCGAGACAGAGTGGTAAGTGCGACGGGGGACCAGCGAGGGGGAGCGGGGATGGGAGGCAGAGACCCAAGATCCTCTGCTCCGTAAGCCTTAGTTTGCTCACCTGTACAATGGGTGCTGCTAGCACAGCTGGAAAGGAGGCCTGGGAGGCTCTCCCCTGGGGCGGGCAATTGGCTAAAACAGCCCAGATTCGGATTATTCATGAGAACAGAAGGATGACGCGGGCTGGATCATGCCGTCGTCATGGGAATGAGCGAGGGCCCCGGGCCCAGGCAGCACGCTGAGGGCAGGCAGGAGGGGAGTGGGGTCACGTGAACAGGAGAGTCAGGCCGAGGGCTCCTGCCGGCCTGAAAGGCCCCCGGTGCCCCTCAGCCCGGCGAGGAAAGCCCCCTGGCTTCGCTTCCTCCCTGAGGCTCCGGGCGGCACCCACCTCGGCCTGGCTCTGCCGCTGCCCTCTCCCGTCCTGGGGGGCGTGCTCAGGGCACGGATCGCAGGCCCTCCCTCCCCGGGGCCCTGCTCAGAGCCCTCCGCATCCTGCTACCCCAGCTCCGTCTCCGTTATCAGCCGGGAAGCCGGGGGAGGCGGGCCACCTCCAGCACGGAGGCCGGCACAAAAGACGTTCAGCTGACGTCTGCTGAGTCAGTGAGCGAACCAACGCCTCCGTCAGTGGGCGATGGGAGGCCTCCGAGAAGAGGCAGGGGCAGGCCACAGGCGCTGGGCCCAGCCACGATGCCCCTGCCTGTGACCACAGGCCCCGTCTCCCTGACACCCGAGTCTGTGTGGCTCCAACGCTGACCCTGTCCCTGCTGGGCCTCTAGCGGGGCCGGTGCGCCTCCTGCTGACGGGGACACAGCGAAAGCCGCCGAGCTCTCAGCGGGCTGCAAAGATCAAGGGGGCCCCCCGTCACAGCAGAGGGGGGCTGGGCGGGCCAGCTTTGCATCAGGGCCCATGTCCTTCTGGAAACTGCTATGGGAAGGGAGGCACTCCCAGCCTGTGCCCTGCAGCAGTGTGCACCATTGGGAAAAGGCCGTCACGTGACTGAGGGGGCACAAGAATGAATGAGGAACCCACTTGGGTTGGGACAGCAAGGCTGGGCTCAGGGCCCCCGAGAGTCAGCAGAGAGCGAGGGCAGTATCCGGGGCCTGGCACACACCCCGCCTGCGGACTCCTGTTGTTTGTGGCCTAACGGCTCTTGCTCCACCGTGTCACCCCCATCACTGGGGGCAGCAGAGAAGGCGGGGTGGGGGGGTGTCTTGACTTGGCCTCCTTCGGCCTGCGGAGGGCTGGGAGGGGGACAGGGCAGAGAGCGCCGCCACAACTCGGCCGCCACTTCCAAGGCCTGGCGCCGAGGGCCTTCATGGGGCAGAGACCCGCTTGTTTCCTACCCAGCGGTTGGTCTCAGAAACAGGCCCCCTGCGAGCACGCGAAGGCTGTTGGCACAGAGGGAAGTGGCAGGAATTTTGCCGGCTGCCGGTCACCTCACTGTCCTCCGGGACAGAGGGGCAGGAAGGGACAGGGGGGCAGGGGCAGCCTGGCGCCCTTGCCACATGTTCTTCCTAGGAAAACAGACCCATTGCCAACCTGGGAACCCCAGAGGCCCTGGTGGGCCCGGCCCTGAGGGGGCAGGCGTGTCCCCATCACCTGGACCCCGAGTCCGCCAGCCTCCTTCTGGCTGAGTCTGGATGGGAGGCCACGAGACACCCTCCAGCCGTGAATGGGGGAGGTAAACCTGTGGGGGATGGGGCTGTCTCGTTGCCTGGGCCATGGGTGTGCACACGTGAGCACACAGACACATGCTTGTGTGCACACGCACACAACAGAAACCAGGCCCTTTCACAGGGGTCGCCTAAGACCATCGGAAAACACATATAGAATTACATATTGTTTCTGTGATTAATCACTAAATTATGTTCCATTTGTAACAATGAAATTGGGGGTCACCACAACATGAGGAACTGTATTAAAGGGTCGCGGCATTAGGAAGGTGGAGAACCACTGGTCTACATCTATTCACGTTTGATGGTTTCTGACCCCCGAAAGCTGATTTCACAAACCCCGAGTGGGGGTGGCAGGCAGTTTGAGAAACCCCGCACTCTAGGCAACACTAAGAATCTCTAGAACATTCCTGTCTAAATCATCTGCTCATTTACTAACAATAACGAGAACAGGGTGGGTGCAGGTGGCGTCTGGGTCGGCAGGGGGCTGAGTCTGGCCCCCCCCCCCCCACAGCAGGGCCTGGGCGATGGGGCCCCACAGTCGCCGCAGCCCCAGCCGCAGCCTTACCTTGCTGGTGGCCGTGGCGGCCGAGCCGGGGAGCACAGGCGTGTTGGTGACCTGGACGTTCAGGTAGTTATTGTCGATGAGCGGCCAGGCCCCCTGCACCTTGCAGGTCTGGAAGCGGTCCGTGAAGGTCCTGAGGTGCGGGTCCCCGAAGAGGCCGCAGTGCGTGTAGTTGGGGGCGGCCGCGTGCTTGTGGAAGCTGCGCTCGTAGTGGCAGATCTCGGGGCTGTCGGAGCGCTCCTGGCTGTCCCCGGGGGGCGGCAGCGTGCGCAGGCGCGGCTGCGAGGTGGGGCCATCCTTGGAGCAGTTGTGCTGGCTCATGAGGTCCTCGATGCCATGGACCGCCGAGTGGTAGGCCAGGTCGCCCCGGCAGGTGCGCGCCGTGCGCCGCGTGCACAGGGCGTAGGTGCGCAGGGCCGCGCAGAACTCGGGCGCGTCGTCTGAGGCCGGGGAGGGGCCGCCCGCCGTGGCGCTCCAGAACTCAGAGTTGCACTTGAGGATCTTGCACGGGGAGGCGGCTGTGGAGGAAGCGAGGGACACGCCGTCAGGGTGGGCGCACGCACGCACGCCCCGGGACGCCCCGTCGGAGCCGGCACCGCGCACCCTGCGAACGCGCGCCCACCCAGATGGTGAAAAAAAACAGCCGCAAGTAGCAGTCAGGTTGTCCAAATCCTTGCGCGCGGCTCAAAATAACCCCAAGCCTCCGGGCTCGCAGCTCCATCAGCTGCGAGGGCCGGTGGCAGCCCCTCCCGCAGCCCCCAGCCCTGGAGAGGAATGAATGGTCAGTGTTTTCGGGGCAGCAGGGCTGTAGGAGCAGGCGGGCCACCCTCGGGCTTTTGGCATCTGTTTACATCTTCACAGCCATCTCCCAGGAATCTGGCAAAAGCGGCAGACATTTGGGGGGGAAGTAAGCCCCAATGTTCAATACGTGCCCCAAGCTTAGCTGCTGTGTGACCTCCTGCAAATTACTTAACCTCTCTGTGCCTCATTAGACTCATCTGGGAAGGAGCAACGGAATCTATCCTGTGAGGTTGCTAAGAGGGTTCAAGGGCTTAGAAAGGCACCGGCATTTAGCTGGAGGTCAGTGGATGTTGGCTAGTCGGCCCTGGGCACGGAGGGCCTGGTTCTGGTCCCCTCGTGGGCGGAGCTCCATGCCTCTCCATCCTATGCCGGAGAGACTAGGAAGCAACTGGGAGGGATCACTGGGTTTGCCTCGATGTGTGGTGTCTGCTTAACTCACTCGCAAGCTGGCCGTGCCTTAGAACCATGGCTTTAATACACCGAACTGCCCGCGTGTCCGCAGCAGCTTAAAACCTTCGGCTCTTGCCCATCTTGGCTCGCAAGAGGCCACCGAGAGTGAAATCAGGGGCTGGAATTGACAGCTCCCGTTCCCCGCTGCCACCTCTTCAGGCCTAGAGTGGACATGCACGGGCTGTCGCTTCCTGGGGGCCTGGGGGAAGGGCGTCAGGGATGTCAGGGCTGGACAGTCCCCGTGGTGGTGAGATGAGGGGCCCCCGGCCCCCAGGGAGTCGTCCTGCCGCTCCGTGCCCACGGCACTAAATCACGGGCCAGAGGCCTGCCCAGGTCAGGGCCCGGAATGTAACCTGGCCCGGCATCAAAAGGAAACGCTCTCAGCGGTGGCGTCACCTGCCAGAGACCCCAGAGGCGCTGATTTTTATGTTCAGTATCTTTAATAAGAAAGCAGGAGGCCCGGATTCCAGGCCGTAAAACCCTGGCCTTTGCCGATGCGGGCGTCCAAGGAGAGGAAAGTCTGAGTGTTTGAAAGAGATCCGATTGCAACGGGTGCGCGCGGGAGGAGGGCCGCGGCTTTGCCGAGGGAGCCACCCTGGTGCCTGGTGACAGAAGGCGGCCAGCTGTCTCCCTCCTGCCTGGTTCCTGCAGGCGGCAGCGGGGCCCCGTCTGGCCTTTCTGCCACCTCTCAATGGGCCCGAGACAGCCAATAGGGGAAGAGCCAGGAAGGAGAGAAGTGATGGAAAATAAGACGTTTTCCCGAGCTGCATTTCTTTAAAAAAAAAAAATAATAATAATTTTACTGATTTCAGAGGAAGAGAGAGGGATAGAGAGATAGAAACATCAATGATGAGAGAGAATCATGGATTGGCTGCCTCCTGCACGCCCCGCACTGGGGATCGAGCCCACAACCCGGGCATGTGCCCTGACCAGGAATTGAACTGTGACTTCCTGGTTCGTAGGGCGATGCTCAACCACTGAGCCATACTGGCCGGGCCATTTCTTTTTACCTATTTATCTTTACTACTGAAAGTATTACAGATGTTCCGCCTTCTTTGTCCCCCCACTGACCCCTCCGCCATCTTAACCACTGTGTTCTGGGGCAGGGACCCTCTTGGCGCCTCTGCTCACCCTTATACCCAGGGCTGCACCCCAGACACCCGGGAAAATGCGCAGTCGCAGCACAGAAACATACGCTCCTTTGACGCCCATGATGCATGTTTGTTTGGACCCAGGCCCCCTGAGACAGGACTTTCAGGATTAGCTACCAGGGGACAAACAGAGGGGAACCCAGAGGCCGCAACGACCAAGGGTGGGGTGCAGGCAATGCCTTAACGATCGCTCTGGGACCAACCTCCACGGAATTTTAGAACCGGGGGCCAGAGGTCACTGCTTTCCACCCGCAGACAGCCTCCTGGGCAGGAGACCTCCCTGCGGCACCCCTGCCCGGCGGGCACCTGACCTCCCTGCACTGAACTGGGCCAGCGCAGGGCTGGCCCCTCCTGCCCCGGAATCTCCAGCTGTGGACCCACATCTGCCTCCCAGGGACCTTCATGGGGCCTCCCTCCTTCTGTAGAGCCACGCAGAAGAGGCTCAGCCGTGCATCCAGTGTATGCTGAAGACAGGCCTCAGTTTCCCCGGCCATCTTCTTGGCCTCACCCCCCTAGCGGCTCTGTGGGCCTGCCTGACCGGTCTCATCCAGGACACCCCGGCTCGGGGGCCACCTCCTGCCCCGGGTCCCCTCTTTTTTTGTCCTGGAATCCTTGGCTCCCACACGCCATACATGTAACGTTTCTCATCTGGGGGAGGTGGGCACAGCGGAGAGAGCAACCACAGCCACACAGCCTGCCTGCCTGGCTTCATTCTTGTCCTTTAAATAGCAACCCAGCGCCTCTGAAGAAACAGAAAGAGGGAGGCAGGGAGCTGTGAGTCCCAGCTGCACGGAGCCGGGCGGGAGGAAAATATTTACGCGCCCGGACGGCATTAGCGGCTTTCAGGGGCCTCCTTTGAACTGTTAATCAAGGCCAATCTGGGAGAATAAGAGCCTGATTATTACCGCCTCGTTTGCATGACAAAGAAGCCCAATAAAACTTATTTTGCTGCGCGCGGAGGGGGTGTGAGGGCCGGGCCCTGAGAAAGGAGTCTTAGGAATGCGGTAAGCCGCTCCGAAGCCTGAACCCAGGAATAAAGACAATGCAATTTGCCACCAAGAAAAGCCCAATAGACCAATAAATTACCCGCGTGCAAAGGGATTAGATCAGGTTTCAGATGCCGAGTGGGAGGGGTGGGGTGAGCCAGGGAACAGAAAAAACCTGCCTCTTCTTAAAGGGGCAAAGCTCGGCTTGAATGCAAGCCCCGTGGCCAGGCGGGCAACAAAGGTGGAAGAATGGAGGCTTGAGAGGGCATCGGGGAAGCGGCATTTCAATGAGGTCTGGAAGGGCAGCGGGATTTGACGGGTCCCAGAATCACAAGGGGCCAGGCACAGCTGGGGTTGGCCAGACGCTAACTGCTGCTTGGTGAGCGTGCAGCCAGGAGTTTGGGGCCAGACACAAGGGCCTTGCGTGCCAGCTGTGCCCCTGATAAAGCAAACGGCGGGCAGCTCCCCTCTGCTTCCCTCTGTTGAGTGGGGCTGGGGATCTGCAAAGCCCTTTTCTCTGGCCACCGGGCTCCCTGTTGGATTCCGCCACGAGGGGGCACTAGACGGAAGAGGGAAGGCTGGAGGCGCACACTGGTTCACCTTCGCTTTTAAATATGTTTTGATTGATTTCAGAGAGGAAGAGAGAGAGAGAAACATCAATGATGAGAGAGAATCATCGATCGGCTGCCTCCTGCACGCCCCACACTGAGGACCGAGCCACAACCTGGGCGTGTGCCCTGATCTCCTGGTTCCTAGGGCAACACTCAACCACTGAGCCAGGCTGGACGGACCCCAGGCTGTTTCTATTACCACCACTGGACAGTGGCCCTTGTCTCCTCTCCCTCATTAACCCTCCTCCCCCCCGCCCAAGCATCACTGGTGCCACTCAGAAGTACTGAGACCAGCCAGGCACGGGGCCCTCCTCATGGACTGGGGCCCCCAAACCTCTTCCCTTTGTCCCCCAGCCCCTGGGCGGAAACCACTTCCTGCCACTGTGTGCCTCAGTGACCCCTCCTGCTTTCTCACTCCCCCACACCCACCTGCCATGCCCTACGTTAAGATCCCTCTGTGGACAGAGCCCTGTGGTTTGTATTCTCCTCACTGGACCCTGAGGCACCAGCCTGAGGACTTCCGACTCGATCCAGGTGATTGCGGGGCCCCGGATAATTGCCAGCAAGGACGCGGCACGCTCGGAACACTATTTTGGGGCGCAGGGTAACTTAAGAGGCGATGGCTCCCATTGGGATGGAAGCAATTGGGTGGAGCTTAGAGGAGAACTCGCTGCACAGCCTCTGGGATGCCCGTGCTGGAGCGGTTGTCCTATGCCATGCCCGTCTTCACTGCCCACCCCCGGGGGCAGCTCCTCTCTCTCCAGCAACAGGCCCGTGCGGGTCCTGAGGGTGGTTATGGGAACGGAGCACCAGCCAGGAGGGCCAACCTGCCTCCCCCAGCGTGGCAGCCGGCAGCAGCAGGAGCTACCGGCCATTCTGCACCCTCTCCTGTCCCTCGGCTCTGAAGCTGGGAGGGGACGGCCACCCGAGCCAGGGTCGGTATTTGGTAAGCTCAGCCCTGGGCACCGTTCTGGGGGCTCCTGGCCGGACAGATGCCCAAGGCTGCCTGTGTGTCCCGCTTGTAGGAATCTCACCCCATCGCCCTGACGTCAACATGCAGGTGTTTGGCATCGGACACCGAGAGGACCACACCCAGGTGACGGCGTCGCTTTTTCGCCAGCGACAGTCGACGCCACCTTACTTAACCGGCAAGCAGACAGAGCTGGCCACCTCTCGAAAGGCCTTTCTCCCCAGTCCAGCCTAGGAGGGCCCCAGGGACTGACCGAGCCTGAGACTCGCCCCCCCCTGTAAGGCACTGGGGACCTTCTGGGCCTTTCTGCAGGCACTGGCCTAAGGGAGCCGGAGGAATTTTCTCAGTGAGTTAGGAAGGGGGGGAGGAGGGCTGGGGAGCTGGGGGTTAACTCCCTCCACACATGCCAAGTGTGGGCAGGGGTGGCTGCACGCCGCTCAGCGAGCTGAGGCAGTAGGCACTGCCCCCCAGCCGCACCCAGCCAGGGCTGCTCCGCCCCAGCCCCCACACAGGCCAAGTTGTTGCAAGAAACCATGCCGCCTGCCAAGGAAGAGGGCACACCTCCGCTTACAAAGTGGACACCCTCCCCCAGCTCCCACTGCGGCCACCGGGAGCCAGATCCACGGTGAACAGGGCTGCCAGCCAGGCAGCTGAGGGCTCCTCCGGGCAGGAGGCCCCATGGTGGGCCAGGGCCAGGGGCAGGCACAGGATGCCATCCTGGCTTAAGGCGGACAGCTAAGCTAAGCTACCCGGGTTCCGCAGGAGGGTGGTGATGGGCAAAGAAAGACACCCCTTTTCAGATCTAATTGAGGCTTGCAGGTGAGCAAGTTGGTCTTTCTGCTTTGAGGCGAGGCATCACCCTTTCCCCCCTGAGTCTAGGGCTAGCCCTAGAGATGCTAATTTTCCGTCCTGGCTCTGCCTCCAGCAACCCCGGGCTCCTCTGCTTGGCCACTCCAGGTCAACATTCATTTGAAGTGGCTTTTCTCCCTCACCACCATCCTTGGGCAGCCTTCCTCCTCCACCTTCCTCCTGCCGGGGGAGGGCAAACACAGGCCAGCTGGGCACGTGCCCAGGGCGCGCGCACACCCCCCCCCCCCCCACACACACACCGGGGTGTGAGCCTGTGATCAGGGACGTTCCGTAGCAGGGGGAGCAATCATGGGCTCCTTTCTGCAGGGACCTGGGTGCAGAGGGATGGACGCATGGCTTTCCCAGGCGCCTGGGTATGCTGCCTGCCCCGGGCGAAATGGCGCGTGAAATGAATACATAAGCAAAACCCAAAGGACAGAGTCTGACTTGGGAAATGTGCACGGTGACAGCCCTGTCAACTGGTTTTCCCGGCCTGTGGCCGGGTGGCATGTTCTGTGAACGCTGATCCGGGGTGGAGAGGGAGCCGCGAGGAGCCCTGGGAGGAGGCAAGAATGCCCGACTCATGGGAAATGTGCTGAGAGAGAAAGGGTCTCATCTCTCTGACCACACAGACACCCTTGCACACTGCAGAGGGCTTGGTCTCTCGAGCCTTAGTTTCCCCATCGAGGATTAACATTTTAAAAATATATATATATTTGTATTGATTTCAGAGAGAAAGGGAGAGGGAGAGAGGAAAACATCAATGACGAAAGAGAATCATGGATGGGCTGCCTTCTACACGCCCCTCCACTGGGGATGGAGCATGCAACCGAGGCATGTGCCCTGACAGGGAATCGAACTGTGACCTCCTGGTTCATAGGTGGACGCTCAACCACTGAGCCCCACCAGCCGGGCGAGGACTAACATTTTAAAAGCAGCTGCAGTTGAAGAGTAAAGGGGAGAATTCTCAGAGCAGCGATCTCCCTGTGCATGAGAGCGGCCTGGAGGGCCTGTTCAAGTGGAGACCACGGGGTCCCACCCCGAGTGTGCACTGCAGCAGGTCTGGTCTGGGCCCAGGCCTTGGATTTCTAAGAACTTCCCAGGGGAGGCAGACGGGGCTGGTCCAGGGGCCACACTTTGAGAGCCGCCATCCGGTTTAAGAAGTCCCAATGGCTTCCGAGTTTTAACCGTATCTATTAATTGTGTTTTGGAGAGGATGCTGTTTGTGGAAGACTGTACTAAGCAGTCTCTTCTGCCCTTGTCCCCCCTACCCCAGCTACACGTGGCTGCTCTGCCACCCATTAAAGGCACAGCATCGGCCAAGCAGACACCCTCGCAGCCCACGGGACACAACAGAGGCCCCTTCCCTTTACCCGATGGCAGATGCCAGCCTTGTTGGGGCGAGCCCCCCCCCCCCCCCCATGTCACTCAAGCCAGGGGCACAGTAGGTGTGCCATAAACGCGGAACGGGGACATGTAAACATTCTTAAATGACACAAACCCGCTCAGTGTAGCAGCCATCAAGGCATCTTTCTCTGCACAACTCCGTCCAATTTAATTTGCACTCCCCTGGGCTCTCTCCTGGCAGCCATTCAAGCTGACGTGCACCGAACAAACCCAGGCTTTCAATCCAGCCCACCTGTTTTCAGCGGGAGCGGCCATGGTGCCTGGGGTCCCCGCATGTCCCCGGGGCCTCACCCTTTGCCGGAGCTTTCTTTGCTCCTCTGTCCTCCATCCTGCTCTCCCGCAGGCCTGCAGCCCCTCTGCCAGCGCATCAAAGCCCTTGACAGTCCATCTCTGCCGTGGACATGGCTCATCCCGTCTCTTCCTTAAGAAACTGTCTTTGACCCAGGTTTCTGGAGCACACTTTTCAGAAACACCCCCTCTCCCCGGCCTATTGAGTTTGGCGCTCTTGAAAGCTCAGGTTTCAGTAAGGTGGGCAATTTTGACTAAATGCAGCTGTTAAGGCCTCAAATTAGGAGAAACATTAGCCAGTTGGCGTGACAGTGCGGCGGCTATCTGTTCCATCGGCCAGGTTTGAGTTACGGGCCTGGAAGCCAAGAAGAAATGGGCTTCTTGGAAAACAAAAGTGATGGAATTCGGGGGTGGCGGATTACATAACCGACCCACCCGCTTTCCCCAGACTACGGGGGACACTTCAAGGTTTGAAACAAGGAGAAAGGAAATAAAACAACAATAACAATAACAACAACAAAACCGCCGCCAGTAGCCCTCGCAGCTCCCTCCTGCCTCCGAGTTCCCCGGTCAGTCCGTCCTTTCTCCCCGTCTGGCCCAAGATGCTAACCAGCGCTGCCACTTTAAGAGCAAGAAGGTGTTGTTTTAAGGGCTCCTAAGCCCCCCTTCTCCATTTCAGCTCGGAGCTGAGATCACATCCCCCACCACCGCAGGACTGCCCGGGGACAAAAGCCATCTATCAACCCATCTGATAAAACCTCCGATGGGCCGGATCCTTATCTGGGACCAAACCAGGGTGCACATGCTGCAAACTCCAGCACTCCGAAAGGGGAACTTGGTTTGCAAGGAGAGGGTCATTTTTTAAATTAATTTTTTTTTTTTTTTTAGTTCTTGGGAAAGAACCAAATCCGCCTTTCAGCCAGACCGCTTTGTAGATGGAGACACTGCCTTTTTTTAAAAAAAGGGGTGGTGGGGGGAATGGGACTCCCTGCTGGTGGACCCCGCTGCAGAGGTTTTAGGATCCCCGGGGCGGGCCAGGGCGCAGCAGGTCCAAAGCTCTTAGGGGCACTGACACCCCAACTCCCCCTGTCCTAGGCCTGGGCCTCCCCAGTGGAATCCAGAGCTGGGAGCAGGTTAGGGCTCCCCGGGGCACCCTGGGGGGGGGGGGTGCGTGCAGCTGCCCAGTGTGAACTGTGCGCGCTGCACCCGGAGGCCACCGGGGACACCCGAAGCAGGGCCGGGGCAGGAAGGTAAACTGATCCCAGGCCCCTTCCGCCGCCTGGGCTGCCGGCCTGCCTGCCTGCACGGTCCCCCTGCCCCAGCAGCAGCCTGCAGCCTGGATGGCCCAGTTCTGCCAGTTCCTGAAACCCAGTTGGCGGAGGAGCAAAACAAAACAACGCAATCCCCGTCTCACTCAAGTCCTTTCTTGCAAAGTCCCCGCGGTGCGCCGGGGCTGCGCGCATCCGCGTTGGGCTGCGGCGCGAGACACAGAAACACACTCGCATTTTCGCAAGAAGACACCTCGGGGCCTCGCCACACAATGGCACCGGCCGGGGGATCCCGCCTCGCCACGGGGGACCCTTGGGCCCGAACCCTGGGCTGATGTGTATTTTTTCTTTTCTTTTTTTTTTAGCGAGAAGAGAAAAAAACGGGTATTCAGGGTTTAACTGGCGTTTCCCAGCTGTGAGCAGCATATGGCAAAAATGAAATAAAGTTTTATGAAACATTATAAAGAAAACAGAGCAGGGATTTAAGTTTCGGGCCTTCCCCCTCCCCCCCACGACAGGGGAGGGGAAAAGAAAAAAAAAAAAAGTCAAGAAACTGGAGCGTTTGGGAACGAACAAATGCTTCTCTGTGGAGCTGGTCTCCCTTCCCCCAACAAAAACAAGAGGTCGGGCTCGGAGGAATTTGAAGGCAGCGATCTGCCAAAAACATTGTGAAAAACTATGGGGGATTCATTGGAAACAGATGGGCTTTTTCAGCTTTAATTCTGAAATTCTCTCCCTTTCTGACACAATAAAAACAAACGGGGGGCGACGCGGGATGTTATCAAACAGGAATACGGGCTGCTCGGAGCCCAGTCCGAGGGCTCCCGGCGTGGGGCCGGCCGGTCCCGCAGGCGAGGGCGGCGGGGACTTGGCTAGGACGTCGGGGGCGCCCCCGGGGCCACCCCTGGGCACCGGGCAGGTCTGCAAAGCGGTGGGTGAGGAGCCCGGGAAAGCGCCCCCCTGCTCGGTGCCGTGCCTCCCCTGCGCCCCTCCCTCCAGGGCCTCCCAGGGGCGCGTCCCTGGTCCCCCCCTCTTTCTGGGAAGTTCGGAGGCACCTCCGGCCCAAGAGACCCTTCCGACCAGCTGCTTTTCAGTGCAGCCCGAGTAGGGTCGCCCCTGGAGTTCCCCGGGCATCCATCGCGCCTTCCGCGGGGAGCGGGAGAAACAAAGACCAGTGGATATGGGAGGCCAGGTCCCCCCTGGAGGGGGGGGGGGCGCCGCCGACGCGCTCGGGGGCCGTGGCGAGGGCTGCGAGGCGGTCCCCGCGCCCGGGGCCATCCATGCCTTACCTGCGGGGAAGCTGCAGAGCAGGAAGGCGAGGGTCGGCCAGAATCCCAGGGCTGATCGTCCTGCCCCTCTCCCCATACCCATCCATCCAGCTCGGCCTGTTCCCACTAGCCTCTCCCTGGAAGAAGAGTTTAGAAGAAAAGCAGAAAATCAATCACGCTGCGCAGCCAAGGCAGCCCTCGCTCCGCCGGCGGGAGCAGCGAGCCGGGCGGCTCGGTTCCCCTCGGCCGCGGGCGCCCGGCGCGCCCCCTCCCCGCGGGCCCCGCCCTCGCCATCCATCACCGGGTCCCCTCCAATGTCCGCCCGGCCCCGCCGCCCCCGCCGCCGCGCCGCCCGCCCCCTCGCGCTCGGGTTTCAGCGCCGCCCGCGACGGGTGGGGGAGCTGGGCGGGGACCGCGGCGCCCGGCTGCGGCGCTGGGCGCGGGGACCTCGGGGACCCCGGGACCCCGGGACGCGCCGCGGCTCCCCACGCGGAAAGGACCCAGCCCCCGGGCCGCCTGGCCCTGCAAGAGCGCAAGGGCGGCAGCGCGCTCCCAGATCTCCCCCCTGAAATCTCCAACCCAAGTGGAAAGAAACTGTTTGGAGACCAACCCCAGGTCCCCTTTCCAACTAGACCGCCCGCCCGAAGCCGCTCATTTCTCTCACTCTGAGGGGTTCCCGGGTGCAAGCGGCCCGCAGATCCGCTCCCCAGATTGTCCGGGGGGTTAGGCGGGGTGGCCCTGGGGACCTCAGCCAGGAGCGCACCTGGAGGCCCGCCCGCCCTGGCCCCGGCCACCCACCCCGCCTGGCTGGGCCGCCTCCAGCACCCCCTCCCCGCCCAGCACCGCGCTGCCTCCCTCGCACTTGCCCTGGCTGCGCCCGGGAGCTGGGGGCCTGCGGGCCCCTCAGAGGCAGGAGGGCTGCCACCCCAGGGGAGGCGTGGGGACAGGGGTCCCCGCGCTGCTCAGGGCCCTGCCACCAGGGCAGCGCTCGGCAGGGCATCGGGGTGATGACTTCCTTCGCTGGGTCGCCTGTTTTTCTGGGAGCAAAGTGCCTCCTCCCCAGGGTTCCCTGAGCCCCGCAGCGCCCCTGCCCCTGCCCCTGCGCTATTTAAGGGGCTGGCAGCTCCCCCTGAGCATCCTCTGGACGGAGCACAAATACGCCGGAGCAAGTGTTTTCAGTCAAACCAATTCCTCCCCTTGGCCCCCTCACCTCGCTTCCAAGCCTACTCATCTGGTTCTTTGGAAGAGAATCCCGCGTTTTTGTCCAATTGCGATGTTTCCCTTAAGCACTATCACAGTCCTCGTTCGCCGGAGGCCACACAGGCTGCGGGGCGCTGTGCCCGCCAGGAGGGGAGTCCAGCTATGGAGGCGCGAGCTCCGGGCGAGGGAAAAAGGCCCAAGACGGCAGGCACAACCCAAAGGAATCACACTTCTGAACCCGGCTTCACAACGGGCAAGAAAGGGCATAAGGCCTCTGCCAGCGGCTGTTCCCTTAGGACTCAAGGCCAGGAGGGCCTCTGCTCGCCTGCCTTTACAGCTGGGGTGCCACCGTCTTTCCCCCTCTCATAGTGAGGTCTCAGTCTAGCAGGTTCTGTCCAATTATCTCCCCCCTACACTGAATTTCACCGGAAGCCCTGGTTTGCAGACTGCTACAGGCTTGCCCACTGCAATCCAGGTCGCACATGGCATTCCCCTCAAGGTTGGCCCATCCTTGGGCCAAACCCACCAATGTATTCGTCAGAAGCCCGGGACAGCCCTGGCACACCGAGGCGGGCACAGGGCCAGCCTGCACAGGGGCACCTTCCAGGGCCACCCGTTCACACCATCTGGATTCTGCCTTTCGAAAGTCAGCCTGAGCTTCCCGCTAATGAGGGAGAAGGGACCGTCCCATTCGTATTCCCACCAGCAAATGCACTACCACCACCACCAGCAGCAGCTCTGTGGCACCTCCAGGCCAGGAAGACAGCACAGACCTGCAAGCGCTGGACCAGCGAGGCTCAGTGGCTGAGCATCGACCTAGGAACCAGGAGGTCAGGGTTCGATTCCTGGTCAGGGCACATGCCTGGGTTGCAGGCTCTATCCTCAGTGTAGGGCGTGCAGGAGCAGCCAATCAATGATTCTCTCTCATCATTGATGTTGCTCTCTCACTCCCTCTCCGTTCCTCTCTAAAACAAAACCCTCCAAGCAGCCCCTTTCAGCCCTGCCCTGGCCTAAGACTGAACCTTTGGCAACCAGATTTCTGGTCTCTACACCCCAGTTTCCTCATCTGTAAGGGGCTGGCTGATCATACAATTTGGGAGGGGCACGGGGGCACGGGGCCACTCGAACTCCGCAGCATTCCTGCTAGGGGATTGATTGGCGTTCATCTGGACGGCAGAAACAATTTTTATGGCAGAAGCAAATAATTTGGGAAAGGTAATGCCAAGGGGTTTTTTTTGTTTTTTTTTTTTTTTGAAGTAGCAACAAAAATAATTTTGCGGTTGGGGGTCACCACAACATGAGGAACTGTATTAAAGGGTCGCGGCATTAGGAAGGTTGAGAACCACTGACCTAGAGGAACCTGTGTCTACCGGCCAAACAGCCCGGCTTGTTGACAACTCCCCAACTCTTTGCAAAAGAGTAAGAAATTCTTGAAACCTTGGGTTTGGGAACTCAGCGCTTCATTTGCCAGAGAAACTCAAAGTGTAGTTGACTTTAGACAAACGGCTCCTGTTAAGAGTCTGACCACTTACGCGTTCTCCCCGAGGCTGTCGCCTGGGCCTCACGGTAGGCACCTCCTGAACACTTGGTCCTGCACGGCCTTTAGCAAACAAACATTTTGCAAAGATCCCCTCCAGGATCCATTTTTCTGGAAATCTGGGTTATGTTCTCCTAAACGCATTAACTGAGGCTGGCCCTCTCCCTGCACAAGCTCAGTATGCATTTGCTTGCTACCGCCTCGGCCCGCCCTGCGGTTAATCACCATTTGTTTGCCATCCATTCCATCTGCAGGCCTGGACCTAGCTGAGCAGCCTCTCCTCCAGATGAAATATGAACATCTAAACTAAGTCTGGGGGCACCATGGTCCCTGGGGATCCCCACTGTTTATAATTCCTCATCCAGAAAAGTACCTGTTTATCCTATTTTCTTTTTTGTTTCCTGTCTCTAAGGACAATTCCGATCCGTGGCGATTCCGCCCCCCCCACCCCAACCAGGCCCCCCACCCCCCCTGCGTTCTGCAAGGACTTGTTATCGTAAGTGACCCTGGGGGTGGGACTCTGTCAGGAGGAATTCTGGAAGTCTAAACAGAATTCACCCTTGGGTTTCTCCCTCGTCTCCGGGCCTGTCTCTGCCCCCTCAGAGAAGGCTAGCCAATGGGTCTGATTTCACGGTCTCGTCTCACAAAACACATCTGGCTGCGTCCAGTTAATGGGGACTTTACTTTTGTGTATATATCCCACCAAAGTGACTATTAAAAATGCCTCTTCCTAGATGGCCGGGCTCCCCTGTGGGCAAGGGGGCCCAGTGTGTCCATCCTGGGGAGCAGGCCTGGATGGAAGGACAGTTGCCCATTTTGGCCATCTTTCATGACCACTGGCCCCTTCCCTCCAGGTAGTCCCAGGGTAGATAAGAGCACACATAAAGCCAACCAGTCAATCCATCAAGCTATCTAGCTACCTGCCATTTTACCAAAACCCACCAGCAACCTGCTGCCTGCTCCCTCCCCAGTGAGCACTTCCTACTTTGTTTTCTTCCTCAGTTGAACGGTCCGATGCCCCCTCCCGTCCTGGCAGGAGCCAAGCAGTCAGGGCAGAACCGAGTTCACCAGCCTAAGGGGCCGCACAGATGTGTGTACAGACGGAATGACATCGAAAGGAGTCCACACGAGGAATGCCAAGTGTCTAACAGCTACGTTGTCCCTGGGACTTCAGTTCCCAGTGAAAGACGCTAATGCTGTCCCCTTCTCACTGGAAAGTCACAGAACTTGCTCTTGTCTCAAATCCCACTGCAGAAGGCAAGGAACCTGCCAGAAGCCACCCTGCTGACTTCTGGGTGACTCGGCTGTCACAGCACCTCGAGCGGGCACACCAGCTCCTCCCCAGGCACCGGAGTATCTGGGGTAAGATTCTCCTCTGTTAACCCTACTCCATCCACGTGCTTATCCTTCCACTCTGAACAGAAGTAAGGACTCCCCCAGCCTCCGCCCAGCTGGGTGGAGCCCCCTTGGTGGCCTGTGACAGTTTCTAGGGCTGCATTTCCCTGATATGTGGGTTTCAGCCTCCCCCCTCCACCTTTTCACACCTTTCCCTCTTGACCTTGGAGTTTCTCAGTAAGCTCCTGGGGCAGCCACATTTTCTCTCTCTCTTTTTTAAAAAAACATATTTTTACTGATTTTAGAGATGAAGGGAGAGGGAGAGAGAGATAGAAACATCAATGATGAGAGAGAATCACTGATCGGCTGCCTCCTCCACGTCCCACACTGGGGACGGAGCCCACAACCCAGGCGTGTGCCCTGACGGGGAACTGAACCGTGACCTCCTGGTACACCGGTCAACGCTTAACCACTGAGCCACGCCAACAGGACACATTTTCTCTTTTGATCCTTCTCCCACTTCTCCCTCCCGGGGTTCTAAACTCCTGTTTAACTGGAGTTTCATATTTAAATAAAAGTCTCCCCTTCTTACTTTCCTCTTGTGCCTCTTGCCTGAGACTCCAGAGCACACCTACTATCTGGTCTACATACTGCTTACTTGTCATCAGCGTCGAGGTGGAAACTTCTACAGTGGTTCTCAACCTTCTGGCCCTTTAAATACAGTTCCTCATGTTGTGGCCCAACCATAAAATGATTTTCGTTGCTACTTCATCACTGTCATGTTGCTCCTGTGATGAATCGTCATGTAAATATCTGATATGCAGGATGGTCTTAGGCGACCCCTGTGAAAGGGTCGTTCGACTGTCAAAGGGGTCGCGACCCACAGGTTGAGAACCGCTGCAAAAATCTAGATATTGCAGTGGATATGGAGAAAGAGACATGGAATATGGAGTGACCCTACCCCTGGCTCAGTAGCCCCTGGGTGCCCTGTCCCATTGCAACACCCTCAGCTTCTCTATTTAAAAAAAATTATAAATATATTATTTTATTGATTTCAGAGAGGAA